CACACACACACACACACACACACACACAAAACAACAGTTTTCTCATCAGCTTCAAAAAGTGTTAAAGTGCTGCAAACAAATAGTATAGTGTGAGAGTACTGTAGTACTTGGGCAGAAGAACACTGTGATAGTTTCACTGAGATAGTCAGAGCTCAGTGGACCACTGAGAGAGAATCGCTCTGTTTGAACAGACCGTTTAGACTCCTCTACCAGCTGATGCAGAGGTCGTCCAGCGACGACCTGGGGCAAATGGATGTGGGTGGCTATTGACTCCAGACCACCTTCTGACACAGGAAGTCTTTACCACATCATAGCACAGTAGCTCTGATCATTTAAGTCATATGGATGGATGGATGGATGAATGAGGGATGGATGGAAGAATGGGCAGAAGAAGGGATGAATGGATGGATGGCTGGATTAACAGGGGATAGATGGATGGATGTGTTGATGGGCTGATGGATGGATGGGTGTGTGGATGGATGGATGAACTGGAAGATGGATGAATAGGCAGATGGATGGGCTGGCGGATGGATGGAAGAATGGGCAGATGAAGGGACGAATGGACAGATGGAGGGATGGCTGGATGAATTGGAAGATAGATGGATGGATGGGTGGACACAGATGAGTGAATGGGCGAATGAATGGGCAGGTGACCTGACACGAGCGTGACCCTTGCACTGACCATGTGCGAGTCGGTCATGTGTGTGACTGTTCATGGATACGCTGAGCCGGCTTGTCGTGCAGCTCATTGGAATTCAACGTGTAAATAAAGTGTAAAGTAAGCAGCTGAGCGTCATACAGCGGTGACAGTCGCAGCAGATTACAGACTGCCGGCACCTAATTTCTGGGAGGACGGTGCCGCTGCTGAGCTGCACAAAAACACCTCCATGTTCCCACCAATCCGTTCGCATGTCGAAGCGCTCTGAGGCAGCTCTGGCAGCCCTACAACAACAGCCTCTGATTAAATTAGCATTGCTAACCCCGGCCTTCACACAGCAATTAATCTGCAGCGTTTGGCTGAATAAACGGGGCAATACATCGCTGCGAGGCTGTCAGACAGCTTGGACACTTTACATCTGTCGGCCGGGAGCAGCCAAGCGGCGTGCTAAGTGTTAGCGTGGCGTTTTGGCCACTTAGCAAAGCTAATGAGGAATAAAAAGAGAGGAAATAATTCAGTGTGGAGAGCCGTGAGAGGCCTGCATCACACATCTTTAGAGGCTTTCAGAGAGAAGGCTTTTAACTGCCTGATCAGCATCATTAAACACACTTACCTCTTATTTATTCATAATAAATATCAAGTATTAAAGACGTCATCTGTCAGCGATAATAAAGAAAGAAGCTGATCTGAGGTTTTCAGTTACACAGATAACAATTCCAACACAATCCTGTTTTTTTACAGCATTTCAGTGACTTTGCCTGAAGCAGAAGTAGACTCTAAACACACCTGTATGCTGTGCATAGAGTTTAAAGAAACGTGGACTGATGCCTGCATCTGTGTAAGAGAGAAGAAGAAGAACAGCAGTGGGCTTTCTTGTGACACCACAGAGGAGGAGGAACTTGTGGATGACGTACGTGTGCAGCTGACTATGAATGAACCTTTATTTATAAGAGTGTGATCCAAAGAGGAGAAAAATCAGAGAAATCCAGACTTCCTGTAACTCCTGAAACGAGCCTCTGTTATCATGTTTAAGATAGCAGGTGTGGTTTGGAGGGAGGAGGTTTTCCCGTCGGCTGCTACGGGCGTATATTTCTCAAGGTAGGCGCTATATAGCAGGAGATGAAGCTTTGTCCGAGTGTGCACCATCAGAACCTTTCACACGCAGGTCTCAGATTTGAGCAGATAATAAGTCCATGCTGAGGTGCCTCGGTTCAGATCTATCTGAACCACACTGCCATTCCTTTCTGAATCTTTGATCCACCCAAAGCCACGGAACATGCAAACAGACGTGAAGTGTTAATAAAATCAATCTCCACCTGGAGGAAGGTGATGATGACGTAGGTCTGTCAGGCAAAGGTCGTCTAACATTAAATCTGTTTTTCTGCACTTTCACCTCCATCATTCCTTTCTTCAGTTTTCATTATCCATTTCTTGCACTTTCATCACTTTCATCACCCCCTCGAAGACCACATAAATCTGCTGCTTCATGATTGAATGACAAGCACAACCGTGTGTGTGTGTCTCACCCCTGTTTAGCTGTGCTGAGTTTAGGTCTGTTGATTCCTGCTTCATCATCGTGGATCCAAACCCAGACAAGTGAGCTTTGACCTCCGATGACCTCCTGAGAGAAACTCGAGAAGGCTCTCTCTCCACTGACAGACAGACACACACACACACAGAAACAGGAAGTAAGAATTTGTTATTTTAGGACAAAGATGTGACTGATGTATCTAAACATGAGATTTTAGGAGCACTGACGGCACTGAGCTGGTACCAGCGTGGCTGAGAGAGGCCTCAATAAGGACTGTGGATCAGGTCTGGGGGTGGGTGTTTATTGACGGCACAGAAGCATCAATCAATCACAGAACTGAAGCTGAGGCCCCAGCAGTGAGTCAGTCCCCATAGATCCCCATGTTTAAACATCACAGCACAAATAAACATGTTTACAGCATGATAAAAAACCTCTTTGACCATTGTGGATAATTTAAGGTTTAAGGTCGTGGCCTCTCTGATAGGTGGATGGAGTAAATTAATAAATCCATCCATCCATCCATTTGCTTCCACTTATCCTTTTCAGGGTCGCGGGGGGTGCTGGAGCCTATCCCAGCTGTCATAGGGCAAGAGGCGGGGTACACCCTGGACAGATCACCAGTCTGTCAAAGGGCTAACACATAGAGACAGACAACCATTCGCGCTCACATTCACACCTATGGGCAATTTGGATTAATCAATTAACCTATCTCCACAAGCTGCATGTCTTTGGATAGTGGGAGGAAGCTGGAGTACCCGGAGGGAACCCATGCAAACACGGGGAGAACATGCAAACTCCACACAGAAAAACCCCGGCCTGATGGTGGAATTGAACTCAGGACCTTCTTGCTGTGCAGCAACAGTGCTAACCACCGTGTGCCGTGCTGCCCCTAAATGAATAAATGAGCCGTTTAATAGAATTTTGTATTTATCTAAAAGTCTTTCAGAGTTTTGTTGTCTGTAATTTATTCATCGAGTCTCTGTGGGATGCTGACAGTGGTCCTGTAAGTCCATCTATCTAAACACAGAGCAGATCACCCAGGAGCCCTCAGCTCGCTCTGACCTTTGACCTCCTGACTGATGAGTATTTATTTAAGCTCACTTTCCCGTCGGACTCTCTTCATAACTCAGCACAGATAAGAGAGCCATAGAAACAACCAGATTATAACAAGTTAAAACCTGAGCCGATTTCCTCCTCTGTGCTTCCTTGGTAATGAAATGAAAAGACGTCTGGAGGAGATAAGAGCCTCGCACTCCTTTTCTCTTTTAAAAATCACCTGCTTCTCTCCGACCTGGAGGCTGACCAGTGCGGGCCGCCGGCCGACCGCAAGACAAAAAAATGACCCAGAAGCGGGCAAATTAATCTCTGTGGACGGCGTGAAGGACAAATCGCAGCCTCCTGCAGCAGAGTTTGGGGAAATTACACCGAGTTGTAAACAAATTTGTCATCTTAATCTGGGTGAGAGGATAGAGGCATAGGAGGGAGGAAGAAAAGCTGCGATAAGTTTAGCACAGAGTTAACTTCTCCTGCTGGAGCACATTACTGTTTCAGCACCATGCAGTCAGAGCTGTGTCCAGCCCCGCACACATCCGGGTGACGTCAAAAGTCAGTTTATCGTTCTCACAGAAGTGTACTCGGGCTTCATTTTCCGCCTCCTCATTGTGTGCAGAGTCAGCGTGATCTGCAGGCCGGTGTCTAACGGGACGCTGTCGCCGGCTCTGTGCACAATCAAGGTGCTCATTTAAGGACTCTGTGGGTCCTCTGACCTACACCCTCCCACAGAATCAGACAACCACTGTGACGCACACAGACTGAACCAGAGTGCGGTCAAAGTACTGACACCATCATTTAATCGCACAGGACAGTACTCAGGAAACACAGACTGGCAGACAAAACTGGATTAAAACATTTATCTACCTTTATCCAACGATCTCTCCAGAGCTCTGGCTTTCTTCCTGACCAGAGTGAGAATGACAGTCTGACCCGTCTGCTTCATCACCTCCTGAACCTCCTGGTTGGTCAGACCGTGCAGACTGACGCCGTCCAGCTGTGACAGACAGACAGAGGAGGAGAAACAACAAGATAACATGAGTGCAACCAATCAAACCGAAGCCGATCCAGACCACATTCAAGATTCAGCTGAAATGATGGGGAACCAGGCAAGTGGCAGACGGCTCAAACAATGAAAGATTTTTGATTTTTATTAGCCTGAATGTGCCTCAGTTTTTCTGCAGAAGCCTCCAGAACCACTTTCCTCAGAGGAGCTGTGCAACTTCAACAATTACAACCTTTTATAGCATCACATAACTAATCAATAACCAGCCACCATATGCGGCATGGCAGGAAACTTATCTGGCAAACATTTACTCAAGGTCATGTTTTACTTTGGCTCACGCTTCATCCGTGCAAGAATCCATCCATGCACACCTGCCTCCCTGAAGCCCAAACAAGAAGGAGCTCATTCCTGCTGCTCGTATCCTCAGCTTCATTCTTTCCGTGTGGATGCAGCGCTCACAGCTGTGGATGAGTGCACGAATGTAGACCACCCAGTAAATCAACAGCTTCACCTATACGCCCAGCATTCATCTCCACAACATCACCATCACTGCTGACACCACCAATCTGTCATTCTCCTCCCCCACCTCCCCTCATTCTTCAACAAGACCCAGTGACCTTGTTGAAGGTCACTGGGTCTTGTTGAGCACTCATCTTTTTCAAACTCTTCTTAAAACTAAGCGTGCAATCCAAATACTTAAACTCCCCAACTCACAGCAAGTTGGGAGTCACAAACCGAGACCACAAGCTGAGACCGCCAAACCCGATACCTCCCACAAACTCTGTCTTTAAGGATCAAGAACAGAAATGGTTCAAAATCCAACACCTGCCCAACATGAATAACTGACTGCTGGCAAAGCAAACCAAGCGCTCACTGTGGTCAGAAACCCATCCTCCTGAAGCACCCCCACAGCACAAAACACAAACCGGGTTCACTTATAATAAAAAAGTAGCTTTCTTACAGCGATCAGTCGGTCTTGGACTTGGATGTTCCCACTCTGATCCGCTGCGCTGCCGGGAACCACGTGTTTAACAAACACACCGACTGCATCTGAATGGAGTGAGAGACAAACAGAGAGAGAGAGAGAGTTAGTGCTATTACCTCACAGCAGGAAAGTCCTGGATTCAAATCCACCACAAATATTCACACAGAACAACTGAAAGAAGATTTCAGAATAAAAGTTTTGAAAGTTTCAGTTGGTCTAGACTTGAACTGGCTGACGGTCAGAGAGCCTCATGTGTCAGAGCTCCGTGTGATGTCACAGAGCTCCGTGTGATGTGTGACGTCCTTCTGGGACAGCACAGTGGTTTCTCTCTCACCTTGGCTGGTCAGAGGGTTGTGGCCGACGATGGAGATGCCGAGGCTCTGTCCTTCCATCTTGGAGAGAGTAACCTCATGGATCTCGTATCCTTCCAGATTGGGCTGAAACCAAACACACACACACACACACACACACACACACACAGAGTCAGCTTACATGTTTTGGCTCAGAGTCACCATGTGCTTGTAAGTTCTGATCGGTATGAACTCACCGCCTTGCTGAAACGCCGCTGGGGTGGGTTCTGGGGAGGCAGCTCGGGGGTTTGGGGTGGTAAAGAGGAAACGGGGGCAGAGACAGGAGGTGGTGGGGGAGGATGTGCTGCTGCTTGTTGACCTTGGGGGTCTCTGGCGATGAGCATGTTCACGCGGCTCCCGCACGCCTGCAGTACGTGGACTACCTGGTCGCTGTTGAGGCCGCTGGTAGGTGTTGCCCCGATTCGAAGGATGTGGTCACCTGTGCGGAGGCGCCCATCCTGATTGGTGGAGAGCACACAGATGAGATCAACACACCCCAGTATTCAGTCCACTCTGGGGTAAAACTGGCCGTAAACATAAGCTTCAGCACTCTGACATTTCTCGCCGTTGGGGTTTAACGCTCATAAGAGCACGCAGTGTGATTACACACAGACCCCCAGAACATGGGGCTGAAGACCAGCTCTGAGCTTTAACAATCTCAGTGATTCTCTTCACACAGACGTATTTCTTATATTTTAAAGTCTAAACTCACCCTGTCGGCCACACCGTTTCGTATCAGTGTCCTGACCACCACTCCGGACGTCTTCCCGCCCACGATGCCGAAACCAAGACCAGATCCATCATTGACCAGCTCGATCTCCTCCACGTGGTCCCACTGATCCTGCAGCACAGACACGGGGTTACTGAGCGGACCACAGAAAGTTCAGCGAGATCCTCGGAACCAGAACCAGTCAGCAGACAAAGCTAAAGAATCAATATACACGAGTCCTGCTTTAAACTTGATTTAACTGGGAACTCTAGTGTATCAAAGCTTCTTTTACAAACAAATCAAAAAGACCAGATCAAATTAATAATCAGTGAAAAAAGAGAATGTTTTTACTGTGTTTACTTTCTACTCAAACTACATTTATGAATAAAGATCATTATTTTAGACTGTGCACATTTTTCTTCTGCCCTCTTTGAACTGCAGGTTTTACATTGCTATCACAAGACTTTTCCACTGGTTTCAAATGTGTTGACGTGCACAGCAGCCGTTTATCAGTGACAGACTGACTCTGCGGCAATGTGGGTGGATCCCGTCGGGCACAGAGGACCCACATCACATGCTGATGTTAACATTCATGTGTTCTGCCTAAAGAGAGGAGATCCATGTTTCTGTTTAAGTTTAATATTACAGTAAAAAGAAAACCTTGTTCTCATTGCAGCTTGTTGATCAAAGTTATACCACAAGTGCTGTGCTCCTCCAGCTCGTCCACACCAAACGTCTACGGTTCATCTTTTGCTCGTCATCCATCAGCTGGTAGTTTTTCAGGAATTTCAGTGACAGCTGAAAATAAAACTGCAGCCCTGAGTTAACAGATGTCATTCTTCTGAAGCTGCAGTGCAGACAGAGCGATTCGACCCGATCAGCCCTCTCAAAGCTGCAGCTGCATCTTTTAAAAGCAGCTCCGTGAGTTGATCTTCATGTTTCTCAGTCTGCAGCCAAGCCGCCGCCTGGTTATCTGTCCCAAGGTGAAAGGTCATTAGAGTGAAGCAGGTAATTACCAGCTGAGAGCACTTCCTCCTGCCTGATAGCAGCCGCTGATCAATGAGAGGCTGCAGAGGCTGCTGCTAACACGCACAGGCAGCATTTATGAAGTGGCTGCACTCTTATTACAGTTTCCATCTGATAGACGAGGCCTTCCTCAGTATAATGAAACCGACCTCCTCCTCCTCAGCTGGTCCCAGGACGCTGGAGATAAAGCTCGATGTGTTGGACGCTCTGTGTTCAGGAGACAATGTGGTTTTAATGAAGCTCTCCGATGTTCCTCACAGCATTCCTCCACCCTTAGACCTGTTTCTGCACCTTTTAGTTATAATGAGACATCCTGATGCTTCGAGGTACCTCGGTGTTTCAACCCCATCTGATGAGACGTGACAGCCGGCATCAGACTGAGCTTCTCAGGTTCCCACTGACAGTCAAACATCTCCAACCTTTCTGGACCCCTGATGCCACCTCCTCCTGGGCACGGAGCAGGGTGTGGTGGAGTTAGTTTAATCCTGATGCAGAGGACCTGCTGCACACTCTGAGAGGAGCAGAAACACCTTCACTTTTACCTGAGAGCCTGACAGTTTCAGGGCCTCTGTGCTCACAGCAAACACTGATCTGATTTAAGCGTCTCTCTCATCTCTGCTGCACTCTGGCTGAAGTTAAGTGATAAATAAAAACTATTAAAAGCCTCCTCCTCACTCTGCTCTCACACGGTTACTGAGCTGAGTACAGGAGGACGTTAAAACGTGTGCGAACTCTGACATTTAAATAAGCCGAGAAGATTTCAGGAAGAAAAACGAGGTGTCGGACCGAGCGGGGCCGGACTGTTAATGCGAGGCGCGGAGCACAGGTTAGCCCGAGCTGTAATCACTCTGCTCCGCTCTATTGTCGGGTCATTATCACGCAGAATTACACTGTCCCCCTTGTTTGGTACCCTCCTCCTCACGCTTTGCTGGATCCGAGCCATGCTGAGGGCCTCGGATGCCCGCTTTTGTTTTATTCATGTGCTGCTTCTATTGAGGTCACGTTTAATGGAGCTGTGGGCATAAAAACACAGTGCTGCACTGGGCTTTAAGGCCGTTCTCCTGGCCCAGCTAACCATCAGTTAGTGAGCTCTGCTGGGCAGCTTCAGGTGTCTCTGACCTGCCATCACAGGCGATGTGCTGCACTGGCGTCAAAACTCATTTCTGCTGGAATCCGTCCGCCACCGCCAGGAAATTCTGCACTATAAAGCCTGCCATAATGAACGCCATAAATCAGCCAGTCACGCAGCTTTTACTGCTTCTGTCTATTTAGTGAGTATTATCCCACCATCGATTAGGACGCCGTGACGGCGAACGCACTCAGGAATTCAGTGTTAATTTATGGCTGTGCTAAAACTGTTAAAAAGCAGAAAGCACAGGGATAAAAAAATAACAGATTGTGCAGTTAAAGAAACCTGGAAGGGCCTTTAAGACTGGCCGAGCCCAACTTCAGCAGAAGTTACTCACAGGAAGTCGCTAAACTTCTCTGGGAACTCTCTGGGCTTCACCATCAAAAGAGAGAAAAACTGATCTGTGGAGCAGTGAGGCGTTGGCTGTCGGCAAAATACAACAATCACCATGACCCTCCGTCACATCCACACACCGGGTTTTACTGGCAGGTGAGACTCACACCTTAAGACCAGACCTGGGTGATCTCGTGGAAAGCAACACAACTGCTCTCAGGTGCTAGTTATCCTGGTTTGTTCCCAAATGAATGAATCTGAGCCAGCTCTCACTTCATGTTTCTAATTCACAGCTGCTCCTCCGGCAGCACAATAATTCCTAAACACACTCACTGATCATTACCGAAGCCGCTCCTCTGTCCGGTCCAGCACGGATGGACAGATGAGGAGTTCTGATTCTGGAAAAACGGATGACTCTCTCCATTCCTGCAGCTGAACCTATTCCAGGGAACTTTGTGAGCTCTTCTGGCTCCAGGAGCAGATCAGTGCGTAGCTTTGAGCCTGAGCTAACGTCTGCTGTGCTGGAGCAGATCACACAGAGAAATCCTGACAGGCGAGGACACTGCAGCCAGAGGTGCTCTAGTGGACCCTAACAGATGGCAGACTGAGAACAACCTGAAAGGGTCATGTGATGACCCCAGATCACCCAGGTACCTGCAGGTGCTGATCTGAGGCCAATTAGCTGAACATCCTAGAAAATAAATATAAAGTCTGAACAGCAACGCCTCCGCTATAGGAAGCCGGCAGTTTGAACCCTAACCCCTGCCCCCCCAGTCTTCAGGAGAAGATGCAGCAAGTCGAGGGCACCTGAAGCTCCAGATAAACGTGTGAGCTGCTCCATCACGTGATCTCTGACCTTTTATCATGGTCCAGAGAGTAAAAAGGCAGGCATTCATAGCTGCGTCATCATCTCATTTTTCTCTGGCCCCTCCCTCCCAATATTCACCTCCCGTCATGTCGACATTCATCGATCGCGCCTCCTCTCAGACTTAAACACATATTGTCAGGAGCGAAGCTGCAGGTGGAGCACTAACTCGATTTCCTTTCAGCTTTAAGGTCAGAAAATCCACCGAGTCAAAGTCAGCTCACCACAGACAGGAAGTGTCACTCCGATCCACAGGCGTGGTCCCAAAGTGACCTCCAGTTATGAGTGACAGCTCGCTGTTTGTGCGCGCCTGTTTGTGTGTGTCTCTTTGTGTCTGTGTATGTGTGTTTCATATGGAGTGATAAAATCAAACAAACGCTGACGTCTGGTTTTGTGTCGCCCTGATGTTGGAACATCCTCTGAGTTCGGGTTTTTTAAAGCTGCTGACATCGTTTTGGAGTAAACTGTTGATTTCACGACTTGTTTTGGAGTTTGCTTCAAACAGCTGACAGTAAAGTTTTACTGTTGTGTGCAGTTCCATCTGTGCTCGTTTTACTGGATCTTATTTAAAGCGCACACCTGGATCAGAAATGCCATCCCTTCCAGGTTTGTAGTCTCAGCATTCTGTCTGTATTGCTGCTCTGGATTGTTTACCCAGAGAGCTTCATGGAGCAGCTTTCAGACGTCAGGATGCGAGAAACGGCGAGTCTGCAAACTCGCACATGAACAGGTGTTTATATTTCTGCAGACCATGAGGTCACACAGTTTGCTGGTGACTTTTCCAGCTTCCATACAACAGCTCAGCATCTGTTCTGGAGTTACACAAACAACAGGAACTCCTCTTTACACTGATGACAACATCAGGCTCCATTTAAACTCTGCGCACACCTGATATGATAAAAAATACATCCAAGCTTTGAAAGTCGCAGGTTCCTGTCATCATTCACTCTCGTGTTATTTTCTCCTGTTAATTATTAAAAGCTTCCAAACAAGTCTGACCCTGGACGAGTGCAGAAGCGAGACAGACGAGTTTTCCCTCCTGAGCGTAGTTTGTGTTTAAATGAGAAACTCCTTTGATGTGCGAGCCCATCCTGCTCCCTGTGAGGGAACGGAAATGTAGACGCCAATCCGTCCAATTGGTGCATCCCTATTTTCTGAAGCATTTAAACATCATGGGAAAATCCTTGAGTTGTCGTCAGGAGTCAGCTATAGTTTACAATAATTTGACTGAAGTCATTTCTACAGAGCATTAGATCTGCGTGTCCACAAATAAATCAGAGTACGGGAAACAACAATGTCTGCATTTGTGATTCGGTCTGTGCTGCTCACAATCAGCCAAAACATGAAAACCACCTCTGTAACATCGTCAGAGCCCCAGACACAAAACGTCAGAAGTCCAGTCTCTTTTAAATCTTTGAATAAATGCCACAGTTTCCTTACTGTGTTGATTGGTGTTGTGGGCGGCAACGATGCGTCAGGTGGGCGGCCTCTGGCCACCACCAGCTCCACCGTCTCTCCAGGCTGCTGCAGGAGGGAGAGCGCCTGCTGCTGGCTGATGCCCGGCTCCAGAGGACTGCCGTTTATCACTAGGATCTGGTCCCGTTCCTGCAGACGCCCATCCCTGCAGACACAGCACCACATCCGTTGGAGCGGTGCATACTTACTTTAAAGGCAAACTTCATTGCCTTTGCCTTTAAAGTCTGCACCCAATCACTTCTAACTACCAAAACATGTCAGCCACACATGATGGTCACATGACATCATCTGAGCGATGCTGGCAGGCTCATGTTGGACAGCCAGACGCTGTGTCAGGTAACACCAGCTGATTCAGCCACACATCACACACATGTAAATTTAATGTTTCAAACATTTTTTCTATTAATTTTCATCATGTTTGTTGTACACAGGCCGACTCCGATCACACAAAACCAGATGAAAGCTCCCCCTGCTGTATGATGGGAATAACAGGAAGTGGAATGGCACATAGCAGTTCTGCTCCAATATTTTCAAAATAAACGTTTAACATGACGCTTTATTGCTGCATTAATGGGTGGAGCATGGTGTGGTGACCTGCTGCTCACTGATAGGAACAAACTAAACACGCGTCACTGAACCTGTGAGCGATTCCTCCGGGCTGGACGTGTTTGATGAAGACGCCGCGGCTACTGCTTCCTGTTGGATTCAGACCGACCACACTGAAGCCCAGACCGCCAGTCAGAGGACGAGTCAATCTGACCACGTCAGTGGGACGTCCCTGCACGCAAGTGTGCGCGTGCACACACACACACACACACAATTACCCGCATGCATGCACACACAACCAGAGACACAGACACACAATCAGTTGAGCGGTTTGATATCATGTTGAGTTCATTTGTGAGATTATGTGTGAGCGTCTTGGCTCCACCCACCTTGGCAGCATCAAGAATCCACTTCTGGAGGTCAGGTGTGGGCGGAGTCTGACGTTTGGGCGGAAACGAGCCATTGGTGAGGATGGAGGAGGTCGCAGACAGCGGGGGTGGGGCTGGGCCACCGACTGGATCGACGCTCATGATCAGTTGACCTTTTTTGGAGAAACTGAAATCACTGCTGGTGTTGGGAGGCATGGCGCTGAGCTACAGGGAGAGGAGAAGTTAATCAATACATCAGATCCATCAGATTCCAATCATATCTGAGTGCTGATAGAGAAGTGAGAGAGTTTTCTGTCCTGTCAAAGACGTCGCACGTCCTGCGAGTCCACAGAGACTGAAGGCAGAGGTTACTGCACAGTGATCATTCTAGATTATATCACCTGATTACTTTCACTATCAGAGTAAAAATGTAATCTCTAACAGAGCCGCCACATTTCCAAAGCTCAAACCACAGAAAATAAAATCAAATTTCTTCAGAGCTACAAGACAGGTCACCATCGTCACGTCTGAGGCGAGAACATCTTCACATATTTGTAGAGTCAGACTTGCTGAAATGTACATATATGAGGTTTGGTACACGCGCGGAGCATCCCAAGAAATACACAAACATCCTTTTGAAGCCCCAACCTAAACCTGTCACCCTAAACCCTTCAAGAGGTGCAGAATTTAAGACGCAACTTTGGTGCATTTTTTCCCCATTTTTAGATCCATAAGATGACATAAGCGCGTTTGATGACTTGGAGACATCCCAGAGTGGGTGCCCTGATTGTCACTGCTAACGGCTTTACTTGTCTTCATCAGCAACGGGACGCTGATCTCACTGTACGTGAGGACTGGATGCTGTCACAAATAACTAACTACTGGTTTTTGTTTCGATCAATAGTCTGAGAAGCCAGTCAATTCTACTGACAATAAAAAACAGGTTTTTTCTTTTGGCCTCTGATAAATACTTTTTTTTAAAGCAGAGATTAGAAATAAATAAATAAAAACTTGTATTCATCAAACCTAAACAAGCTTCTGTTAATGCAGTGAGCCTGCACAAGTGCAGGAAAACCCTGAACAGCTTCAATCTGTGGCCGAATTAATACATCCGTTCTGCAAACAAGCCAATCAGCTAATGTCAGACTGACGCATGTCAAGTCTGAACTAAACACCTGCTGCTTTCCTGTTTGTCTCAGGTGTGAACAGAAGTGACATCAGGGATCGTGCTGGACACAGATGTCCAGCGTTTAGACTCAAACACATGAGTGTGAACCAGGCTCCGCTGACTGACTGTGTGCGCGGGCATAAAGAAACCGTCCACATACTTTTGAACTTTGGCCACAAACTTCACTGTGATGAAGAGGCAGAGTGGGAGAGAGATGGGAGGCGCCCTTATGTGCAAGGACGCAGAAAAAAAAAAAGAAAGAAAAAGACGCGGCGAGGCCGGGGGTAAGTGGGGAGGAGAGAGGAAAAAACTAAAATCAATAGATTCCTCTGCAGGCGCTCTCTCTGAACAGGTAATGTATTAATGACCTTTACACTCACATTGTGGAAACTTATCAGTCTGCGGCTTATTTAGACCGGGCTGACGGAGCAGGATCCCGAGCCATTTCATCAATACCACCTCGACAAGGCCGTTACTCAAACCGAGACACCAGATATTAAAGCCTGATAGATCTGCAGCACGCTGGGGAGGGAGGGCCAGAAATAAAGGGAGAAGTCCCTGCTTCATATACCCTCCACCGGCTTCCATCGGTGCATTCATAGACTCGCTCTGACCTTCGCAGCACTTAGAATATGAAGCCCGCCGCAGGTTATTGCCATTATCTTAATTTGGCCTGCAGATTGTTTATTGTAAAGCTCACGTCAGCGCAGGCGCGAGCTGAATACAGATGGCGATGCAGAGAGGATTCGACGGCCCGGGTCACAGCGGTGGGCGGGAGGCAGCACAGGACTGATACCCATAGGCTGTCAACACCTGGGCGGGGCTACACTTGTCAGATCTGATGGGAAACACTCACACAGATAGATGGAGAACATGTGATGAGAAACACCCACTGAAGTAAACCTAACTGAAGGCTTTTTGTTCCATTTCTGAAGTTTTACTTGAACTCAGGTTCTTTTCTGGTTTAATCAGGAACGTTCATGTGTTTCTGGACATCTTCTGCTCATCTCCAGCTCTATAGCAGCTCTCAGGACTGATTTATCTCGCAGTGCATCATCTGCCTGACATACCTGACTGAAAAATTCGGGGAGTCTGCTCACTCATTAAGTGGTGACTTTTCAATCACAGTATAGCCCCGCCCTTGTCTACTTCCTGCTCCTGCTGTGACTCTGACAGCACCAAAATCTCCAAAATGACCTCATGTTTGATTCAGTCAGCCCTGAAATTCATCATGGACTGATTCTTATATAGTGCTTTTCTACTCTCCTGGAGTACTCAAAGCACTCTAAACAACACGCCGCATTCACCCATACACACACACATTCACACAAGCACTGTTGTCTATGCTTTGTAAGTGCTTGCTAACTAACATACATTCATACTCCGATGAATGCATCAGAGAGCAAGTGGTGTTAGTATCTTGCCCAAGGATATTAGGCATGCAGACTAGGGGAGCCAGGAATCGAACCACCAACCTTCCAACCAGCAGATGACCTGCTCTACCTCCTGAGCTACAGCCACAGGAAACAGTTCTAATAGTCTAACAGACTTTTTTGTACAACCCGAGAAGTCGCCCCCTGCTGGACATGAGAATGACCATGTGGCGGCGGTGTGGTCCATGGCTCAGCTACAGGGGAGGGGTGGCGCAGCGAGCTCAAGTGGGTGGTGCCTGGGGAGGCCACAGGTGGTGGCGACTGGACTAGTCACAGTCTCTTCTTTTTATAGTGAGAGGCCAGTGCATGCGTGCCGAGACCAACTCTGAGCAGAGACTGTGTAGCTGTACATGTGAAACTTGGCAATAAAAGCTGAACTGTGAGCACAAACATTGTGTGTATTTTGGGTCTGTCTTACAGTCCGCTTTTCAGACTGTGAAACCAGTCAAAACATACATTTAAAAAATAGGCTATGATTTAAAAAATAAAATGGCAATAACAGTAGATGATAGTTAGTCATAAAAAAAACTGTACAAATGAAAAACCTGTATGTTCGTGTTTGCAGCCCCGTGTCAGGCTCAGTGGAGTAAAGGCATGAAGACAAAAAGTGTGTCGCTGCAGCTAGCTCCCTGTTGCTAGCTAACCTCTTTCATACAGTGCAAAGCTTCCATATCACGAGAAAGGAGGTGAGGTTGTGGTTGTGGATAAAAACAATAAAATTTATGTGAATGAAATATTCCATAAACTAGCTGTTAATATAAAACGTCATCATTTAAGGCTCTTTTGTTTTGTGTGAACTCCTTCACCTGAGCTATGGCTCCTGCAGTCTAGGTGAAGTACCGGTAAGCCTTAAACATCTGTGCCAGGATCAGAGTGATCCTATCCACTCTATTTTGCATGATGGAGCATGCTCAGTGAGGCTCACCTCGCTGCGGAGCTGCTTGATTGAGTGTTGAAGGGTCAGGATGTGGTTAAAGAGCGGGCTCTGCAGCGTCTCCCGCAGGTTTCCCAGGGTATCGCTGTGGGTCCACTCCTCCCGCTGCACCAGTTTGGCCTGCAGACGCTCCAGAGCTGCCAGCACCTGCTGACGCTCCGTTGTAGACACTGAGGACAGAAACAGCTTGTGAAGCGTGGTCTCGGATAAACGCAAATCATTGGAGTGTTTCTCTTGAGTTATAGTCAGGACTTACCTGTCGGGACATTTTCAAACATCTCTGCTGTGCTCTCGCCGTCCTCTGTTCTGGAGGACCTAACCTAAACCAGGAAGAACCGAGAACAACTTTATTTCCTTCAGCTCTGGACCAAGACTGATAAACACCTACTAAAATACGAGCAGGTGTGGAGATACTTGTGCTCTGATACCTCACAGTACGACTCATACTGACCGCTCTTTCTCTGTCATCAACAACACTGCATGAAGTCACAGGAAAACATGCAGGTCAGCACCTGTGCACTGTCTGTCTCAGGTGAGTCACACTCACCTTTTCTCCCACCAAAATCGGCCAAAATATGACCCAACACAGAACACCAAAAACATAATATCAGAAACACCAGCAAACACCTTGCTCATTTCTTTCTGCTTATCCAAATCAGGGTCACAGGGGGTGGAGCCTATCCCAGCTGCCATAGGGCAACATGCGGGTAAAGCTGGCCAGATTGTCCAGGGCAAACACAGAGAGATAACCAACTGGTATTAATGAGCCTAACCCTAACCAACCGTAACTAACCCCATCAACTTCAAAAAGACAAAAACCAAAGTTATGCTGAAAATCCCTGAAAACGATACAGTAAAGATAGTAAAGATAACAAACTACGAACTCCAAACACAAAAGGCAAATACCACAAACAGCAAATACTATAAACTGAAGTACCACAAAAACCAGCCCTGAGTGAAGAAAATACTACACAGAGCAGATTTATGAAACAGGCCTGTAAACACTGAAATTTGACACCAAACAGGAAAAAACAAGATTAAAACTATGACAGGCAGCCGGAACCGGAAACCGAGAACGTACCATCACCACCAAAACCGTCACGAGCACCGGAGAATCGTGTGACACAGCACCACACCCTGAACCTACCACCGACACCCCAGCAGGTGCCCGCAGTCACGTGACCGCAACCTTAAAACAGTCCCTTTGAGTCACCATGGTAACGGTAGCCCTGACCTAACGGTGTTCACTTGTTTCCATTTCACAAAGTCACGTTTCTGACCTTACCTGCGCGTTCTCGCCCTGCCGTGCACTGTGCCCTCCGAGCCACCGTACTTATCACCATTCTACTTTCTAAAAACTTGTACCTAATGAGTTACTTCACACCTTCTTTCACTGTGGAACTGAAAGTACTCAGGTACTTCCCACCTGTGGCTAACACGGCCGTCCTCGGAGTGTCCAGGTGTGGCAGGTGAGCCTCGATATCAGCACGGAATATTTTCTCAGTCAGAGCCGAACCGAGCTATTGTCTAGCTCTCTCTCTCTCTCACTCACACACACACACACACACACACACACAC